GGGCTTGGGAGTGGGGGGGGGAGGGTGTCTCAGGATAGAGAACTGGCAAAGCCATTAACTAGCTGTAGATTTTGAGTAAATTATTTCATTCTTCTTAACACAGTAATGTGAGGGAGTTTATCAACCCACCCGTAAGTGATAAGAAAAACAAACAAACAAACAGTGAAGCCCAAGTCAGTTAACTGAGGGCAGTTTCCTGCCAGGTTAGTTTTCTTCCTCTTGGCAGTTGAGCTATGTCAATATTTGCATTTAAAGGTAACCTGGGTCCCTTGGGAAAGTGAGGTGAGTGCTGTGGCCTGCACTTAGAAGATGAAGACACATTCCCCCCCTCCAAGAATTATTTAATTTAATTTATTGTTATTATTATTATTTTCTAATTTAACCAGAGAGAGAAAGTGAGAGAGAGAGAGAGAGAGAGAAATTGAGGATGCAAGTCAATAGGTCCGGGACTTGAACCACAGTTGGCCATATGGGAGTTCAGTGCCTCAATTACCATGCTACCTGCCAGCCTCAAGACATGGGGTTTTTATATGTATAGGAAAAGAAAAAGGGAAGAAGGAGGGTGAGAAAAGAGAGATGTGATCACTGGGATCATTGCGCCCGAAGCACTACGATCTGTGCCTATCTGAGGCCTGGCCTTGGCCCCAGAACTGGAAATTATCTGAGGTAAAAGTGAAAAAAAGAGTAACATGTAAGATAGGCGAGCAAGAGCTACTTCACAATTGTGTTGAGATGATAGTCAGACATCAGCTGGAAAGTATCTGTAAGCAAGTTTATTTTCCTGGATTCCTTTAAGAGTTTACAGTAGTCCCCTTCCAATGGCAATTTCATCTACTATTTCCCAAATTCTTTTTTTCATATTAAATTACTTAACTTTTATAATAATCTTACCAAATAGCCTTAGGCAGGGCAGACAAGACAGAAAGGTCCTGGAGAGGTGAAGTGAGTTATTCTAGTTCCATAATAAATAGCACACTTACACTGCTAGGGTGTGTGTGTATATAGATGTGTATCCATGGATCTGGGGAAATAGAAATTTGTGCCCTTATTTTGCTGGTTGGAATCATCATCGACATATCATAATCTAAGCCAGCATCTTGTGGTGGTGTTGTTTTCACTTAGTTTATAAATATTGCCTTATATTGTCATAAATCTTGAGCCTGGGGGTTCAGGGATGAACTAGATCAAGAGCCTTGTCTGAGGGGATCAGTCTGGTGGAGACAAGTCAACCTGTGGAGCACTGTGTATTCTGTAGCGTTCTGCAACAACATGGAATAGCAGGAGCACAAAACAGAGAGCTTCCATCTTGTCTGAAGTTACAGAGTTTCACTGAGGAGCAGTGTCTCTACTGAGGTACCTGCTAGAACAGGGACTTGAAGAAAGTGTCTTTGAGGCAGGGGGAACAGCATCCACAAAATCACAAAGGCACAGAGAAACATTGTGTGTTTGGGGAACAACATGTGGCGAGGGATTGTGTTACTAGAGGGTAGGAATAGGCAAAAACAAAATAATTTTGGACTTTTTTTTTTTTTCCCCAGACAGGATCTTACTGAGTTGCCTTGCTGGCAGTGAACTCCTGATCCTCTTGCCTCAGACTCCCAGATAGTTGGTATTATGGGCATGCTCCACTGTGGCCGGCTTCCATTTTGAACAATTTTTTTTCTTAAGTTTATTTTTATTTCTTTCTTCTATGAGGGGAAGAGTCAGGGAGAGAGACAGGCAGGCACCCACAACAGGGCCTTCAGTCTGCCATCTACCTTCACCTTAGCAGCCTGGTATTATGGGCACATGCACACACACCCAGGATGTCCAGGGAGACGCCAGGACATGAACCCAGGACCTTCCCATGTGGTTCAGCTGCACTACTACTTCACTACCATCTGACCCCATTTTGAACAATTTTGAAGAATTATCTTCTTTTTTTCATCCATTCTTTCCATGCCCAGTCAATCACCAAGTCCTATAGACTTGCTTCCTCTCCCCTCTTCTACTGCTTTGGTCAGAGCCTCACCAAGTCCAACGTAGACTATTGCTTTTGTTTCCTGGCTGGACTTCCTGTCCCCAGAGTGCATCCTTTTAATCTATCTCTCCCTTCCCATTTTTACTCAGAGTAAACCCGAATTTTTTTTTTTTTTTGAGAGATTTTCACTGTAGGGCGCGTGCGCTCGCCAGACAGACAGAGAGAGACATAGAGACAGAAAGTGAGAAATCACCCCCCCAGGGGGGATGGTCACGCCGCAATCCCTTCTCCTCCATTCTCCTCTCGGGATCTTGGGCACGCACGCACACGCGCCCGGCGTGAGTTTTAAGCCACCGGGTCCGGGACACGAACCACGGTCGACTACGTGGGAATCCAGCGACATAGCCATTACGCTAACTGCTGGTTCCCCCGAATTTTTAGCCTAGGTGACACACTCACCTCTACCTGGTACCTGACTGCATGCATCTCCAGACTTACTTCTTATAGGTCATCTCCAAACCTATTCAGATTCCCCGCCTCCATTCCCTAACCAAGTTCTTGCTTTAGGTTACCCTTCCTTCATTAACTTCCGAACAGATAGCCCTCTGTCGTTTAACTGCTTGCCGCAGCTTCCTCAGCCCTTCAGGAAGGCTGCACTGCTGCACCTCTGTGCTGTGTTGGAGCTTCTCCCTGCGCTGGTTTGTGTTTCCCCTTCTCCATCGGCCATCCCTACTTACCTGGAAAGACTGCAGAAACGGCAAGTGTCACCAGCTCTGCCAGACCTTTCTTGACGCATCTGTCCCTTCTCACTGCTTTGTAAGTTCCTCGATGGCCAAGACATTGCCTCGATCATCTTCGTGTCCTCGACACCCAAAACAGTGTCCATGAGATAGCAGGTTCTCAGTAAGTATTTGTCGAATGCGTTAATACAAGAATTCCTGGCTGTCCGTTGGCACGGAATCGTGGACAGTCCTTCTTTCTATTGTTCTCTAGGACCTATCTTTTCAGCACAAAAGGAGGGTCAGTTTTCTAAGCTCAGAGGCGTTCTTTCTCTTCTTTTATTCGCTTCTCAACGCTCGGTCCAGTGGTGGGCCGTGCTTCCCCCTGGTGTGCCTGCAAGAAGTTCCTCCAGAATTCTTAGGCTTGCAAAAATAGTCTAAAAGTATATATTTAACTTCGAGTTTCACTCCTCCTCTGTGAGGGCAGGCAGTGAGTTGGCCAATGCAGGACAAGGAGCCAATCAGAAGAGCCCCCTCCCCCGCCCTAGCTGTCAATTCCATCTGAGTTTTTCTCTCAGTCCTTCACTGAGGAGCCATAAGGAATCCCACAAGCTGGGGTAAGCAAGGGTGTGGGAGAAGGGCAGGAGCTTGATTTGCCAGACTTCTTAATGGATTATAGTCACATGAACTCAGGTAGTACTATGCCCATATAGGAAGGCCGTAGTGAATACAATAAAGGTTGCTTATGTGTGTTTAATCAAATTATATTCTAAAACTTGAAGAGACTCATTTTAAAAGCAATTCCACAGGGAAGGAAATTTTCTACAAAGTAAGGAGCCATTTCTGGATGAGCCTATATTACAAATGGGAATGTTTGTGCATTAGATTTGCTTATTCCAAGGCGTAAATGTTTGCTTATATTTCTTGATTCTCGTTTTGTTTAAAATCTTTATTTAAAATCAGTAATGTTCATACTGATTATTCTGTTTAACTGATGAGGAGCTCTCTGTAATGTTCCCAAAACAATTCTTATGCTATATCAGAGTCAGGAATGTGAGGATCTGTTTCTCTTTTTTTTTTCCCAGCAATAGTTTAGGCCTGGAGTCTTCTCATTGTCTTTCTCCTTCTGTTTTTATTTTATGGGCAAGTTCAGTAGGGCCTCCCCTAGGCTGACAGGAGTAGTTAACCTATGACCCTTCCTTTGAAGGATCAAACAGGGTTGTCTTCAGCCCAGGTTCTAGGGCCGGAGTGGCCCACTGATTTGTTTCCGTTCCCCGTCTTTGATTTCTCTTCTCTGATCTTATTTCTCCTTCCTTAGCTATTCACAATAGGAAATAGAATTCTATGTTTCATTATTTATTACATTTAAATTATGCATTCAATCTTTCCAATTCTCAGTTTTTAAAGAAATCAACTAAACCTCTACAGACTTTTTGTTTTATATTTCCTGTTAGTAACTGGCCCTAAAAATTCTCTCTAGCCCCATGTGACAGAATGACCTATCTTTCTGCCTTGGTCCTAAATTTGTTTTTCAGTTCCAAAGATGGAGGAAGCCAATGGAAGAGAGTCTATTGCTCTGCCCGTGGCGAATACTGGTGTTGCGAACCCTGGGCTGGAGCTCATGGTAATGCACCGGTTCAGTTTCTGCACAGTGCCCAGGGCCTCCACGTGGCCTCCTGTAGGGTTTTTGGCTGTTCTCAGTCCCCATTGCCTGTGGTAGGACTCTGTGACTGACCCTAAACTCTACCTGTGCTTATAGGAAGAAGGAGAAAAGCCAGAGGGAACCAGGAGGATTGAAGAGGAAGAACACAGACCTGGGGATGGGCAGGGGCCTCCCACTCACCGTAGGTACTGATGTTCTGGAAACCCCTTGCTAAGGCCTAAGGGCCCAGAGTGGACTGAGTCAGAGGGGGTCAGTGGTCTCTTCTCAGGGAGCCTGTGGTCTTACGGTGGAGATAAGACTCACAGCTGCTGCACTTTCCCACAATACATATACGTGTGTGTGTGTGTGTGTAATGAAATTAATTGTTACATACACTCATGCCATAAACATCAGTGTTGGTTGGACTGAAAAAAATAGCAAGGTTAATTAATAATAATGGCTAACATTTAGAGACTACTATTTGGCACAATTCTTGTTTTTTTTTTTTTTTTTTGGAGAGGGGGGATGGCCACGCCGCAATCCCTTCTCCTCCATTCTCCTCTCGGGATTTTGGGTACACACACATGCGCCCGGCGTGAGTTTAAACCACTGGGTCCAGGACTTGAACTGCAGTCGACTACATGGGAGTTCAGTGACATAGCCATTATACTAACTGTTGGTCCCACACAATTCTTAATAGTAATACATTTATTTGATTTGTATAGGTGGGAACTCATTTGTTTGGAGAGGTTTTTGCTATAGGGTGCATGTGCTCACGAGAAAGAGACAGAAAGTGGGAAATCACCTCCCGGGGGGATGGCCACACCGCAATCCTTTTTTCTCCATTCTCCTCTCAGTATCTTGGGCACACACGCACATGCACCCGGCATGAGTTTAAACCACCGGGTCCAGTACTTGAACTGTGGTCAACTACAGTAACATAGCCATTATGCTAACTGCTGGTCCCGTCTTCTCTTTATTTTTAAGAATTAACTCAGCGGCCTCTCAAAATTTTGAATTCTATGTTCTTCTCCATAATTCACTTTTATATATAGTTTATGTATAAACATGTACATATAACATGTTTTATGTACACATACATACCAATCAATGTACTGTTTCAATGTGGACAATTTTCTATTTTTTGTTTTTCTGTTTATTTTATATATCACATTTCTATGAGTTGACAGTGAATTCTGTAAATTTTTTATGTTTATATAATGTTTCATACTCTGCTTAGCGGGATATTGGTTAATAATATGAATTCCAGTCAGACTGCTTGGGTCTATGGCTGAACCCTACTGAGTAGTGTGATGATAAATATTTTAGAACTGGCTCTCCAAGGGTAGTTTCTTTTTTTTTTCTTTTTAAAAAAGAATTATTTAGTTTAATTTATTATTATAATGTTTTAATTTGACCAGATAGAGACAGAGAGAGCAGGAAAGTGAGAAAGCAAGCTGCCAGGTCTGGGACTCAAACTGTAATCGGCCATGTAGGCATCCAGCGTCTTAACCACCACATCACCTCCAGCCCTTCCAAGGGTAGTTTTAACATTGACATGTTCCTTGATATTTTTACTCCTTAATGAGTAAGACCAAGGGTTGGCAAGCCTTCTCTGTAATGGATAAGATAATAAATATTTTAGGTTTTGTGAGCCGTATGATCTCTGTCGCAATTACTCAACTCAACCAATTCAATCGGAAAGCAGCCACAGCTGAAACTAAACAAGCGGGCATGGCTGTGTCCTGATAAAACTTTATTTACAAAAAGAAGATAGAACAGACTTGGACCACCAACCATAGTTTCCTGATCCTTGTCTAGATGAAATAATGACTCGAGCCCTAATGTGTAACATTTGCCTTTATTGTATGTATGCTCACTATGACCGATTTCAAATTACCAAAGGGATGTCATTGAACAAGGAGTTTGAAAGAGATGCGCAAGAGCACATTGTTACATAAGATTTCCACTATCCGTGTACCACAGATATAAATAAACTCCAGAGCTTAGATAATAGTAAAGTGTAAAAATAATTAGGAAACTATGGGTTATGAGGATTTCTTACCTTTGTCTTCAATGCAACTAAATTGTAAGTTTATAAAATTTCATTTTCATAACGGTTTGCATAATTTAAGAAAATTGAACTATGGGCTCTTGCTATTTTTGTTTTCTTTTTAAAGCAAGCTTTGCTATAGGGTGCGTGCGCTCGCCAGACAGACAGAGAGAGACATAGAGACAGAAAGCAAGAAAGCACCCCCCAGGGGGGATGGTCACGCCGCAATCCCTTCTCCTCTCTTCTCCTCTCGGGATCTTGGGCACGCACGCACACTCGCCTGGCGTGACTTTTAAGCCACCGGGTCCAGGACGCGAACCATGGTCGACTACATGGGAGTCCAGCGCCATAGCCATTACACTAACTGCTGGCTCCCAACTTCTTTTGTTTTCTTAAGAGGTTTTTGCTATAGGGCATGTGTGCTCACCAGAAAGACAGAGACAGAAAGACAGAAAGTGAGAAATCACCCCTGAGGGTGGATAGCCATGCCACAATCCCTTCTCCTCCATTCTCCTCTCAGGATCTTGGGTACGCACGCACACGCGCCCAGTGTGAATTTAAGTCACTGGGTCTGAGACTCGAACCGCGGTCAACTATGTGGGAGTCCAGCCACATAGCCATTATTACCAACCGCTGGTCCCATCTATGGGCTCTTTAGAACCAGTGCAGGCCAGATTTCCCTGTACCACTGATTACCGTGTATCGGATGCTGGTCAAGTTACTGATTCTAAGTTCAGTTTTGCCCTGTAAAACAAGGAATCTGGATTTTGTTATTCTTTGTGATTGTCATTGGCCTCTTAAACTGCTCTGAAGTATAATTGTGTCCAAATACTCTAAAATATTATCAATATTTCACATTTTCTTATATGAAAAATGCTAACTAATTATGTAGATAGAAAGTTCTAATTTACATTTCTTTAAATTCTAGTAAAGTTACACATTTCCCCCCTTTTGGATACTTTCTATATGTGAATTTCTGGGTGTTTTTGCTTTTCTTTTTTATCAACAAGAGTAGAATCTGGGTTTTGAGCCTTGCTTTTGTTTTCCTTCTTAATTACTCAGTAATACCCATGTAGATTTCTTATTTCTAATTTTCTCCACCTCCTGTCAATCTACCCTATATATCTAACTTATTTGTTCAAAAACTGTGGCCTTCCCATTGGTTCTCAAATAAAGGCCCAGTCCACACCCTGGAATTTCTTCCC